GGTAATTGATTGGCTGAATACTAATTATGTGAGTTGGATACTAGTTTTGTGATGTTTTGAATACTAGTATGTGCTATCTAGATACTTTAGTAAAATCAGCATACTTGGATACTAGTTTATACATTTTGTATATTAGTTAGTATATACTAATAACTTATACCGTTAGCAGAATAACTCTATTGGTTTTGGAGATGGTTCTGGTAAAACTAAGGTTGCTTGGGGGATTCTTACTACTCCAGTTAAGAAAGGGGTTTCAAGTTTAAAAAACGTACTCATCTAAAACATAGCTTGTGTTGTTTGACTACTATTAATGAAGAGTGGTTGCTTCAGGGTTGCCTGGATCGAGCTGTACAAACTCATAGAGAAATATATCTGGATAGTCGAGAATACTACAATTTGTTCATGGATTTGGAGAAGGCTGCTCAAGTTGAGATTGTGGTTTATGTATAAGATGTCTGTGAATGATGAAGGCCAGTTACTTGGGAAGGTAAGGTAATGGTACATTTCTTTGTCAAACAGATTTGGGAATCCATTCGTCCTAAAAATCCAAAAGTCCAAAGGTGGAAACTAGTTTGGGAAGATTCTATATACCTAAGAATAGCTTCTTGGATTGGCTAATTATATTGAAAATAATTTATAGTAGAGACAAGTTTTGTGATTAAGGTAAGATTACTGTGGATACTTGCGTTCTTTGTAATTGATCTAGAGAGAAAAGGGACGATTTGTTTTGCAACTGAGTACACTACTGAACTTTTAGTAGCAATTTCGACAAGCTATATAGAGCTTGGCCTAATGATTGGGAGGCTGCTCTCTCTGGTATAGCAACGGGTCGGGTCGGATGCTACATATCCATTATCCTATTCAAAGTAGTTTGGATTTTACCCATACTCATACTTACATAAGAATCGGGTAGAAAATCAAAATCATGCACATACCCAATCGGGTTTCGGCTATCCACAATTATCATAGGTAATAATTTCTCTTTATAAATTCAACCAACATGTTAACATTCACCCATATACTCACATTGTATAAGTGCAAAAGTACGACAATAATTCACTAGAATGAAGAAAATTAATTTCAAACAACAGAATTTTATGAAAGTATTATATTTGTATGCTAGATATAAAATATGTTGAGAAAAATAACGATAGTTTCTAGACTAAATACGTATACATGTGTATAATCGGGCAAGTTCGGGTTTGATAGTGAGAAAACCATGCCCACCCATTACCTGCTATATTTAGGTTCGGGTTTTATCTGTACTCACAGAAAATCCTTCAGGTTTGGATTTTACCCTATCCAATTAGGTCGAATTCGTACGGATATCCATACTTTCGGATATTTTTGTCATCCCTAGCTCTCTCGGATAATGCAATTGACTTCTACATGATGGGTATTTTCACAACTGCAGTTGGAAATCAAGTCATACATGATGGATATCTTACAATTTTATGGTGAGATTAGACAAACTTCTTTATTTTAGAATCAATATAGTGCTTTAATTAAGTTGTCTTTCCTTGTAAGTAGTTGAAATAGTTGGCTAAGGCCTGTGCTTTTTCAACTTTTTTTTTTTTTTTTTAAAATAGACATGTATTATTTCATTAGTGCGGAATATTACTGGTATCATAGATAAGCTGGTTTACAATGAAAATAGGGGGCCTAGCTGCCCAAAATTCAGTCTCATCCCACTTGCATTCGGTATGGGCCTGGGCCACCCGGTTACTATCCATCAAATCTCCATTCATACCAACAAGCTTTTCCTTCATTTCTTCACATTCTGCCCCTTCCTTCGTTAACGACTCTTCCTCCTTCTCCATCTGTCGCACCACTCTCAAGCAGTCAGTTTCAATCTCCCCCGATCGAAATCCCTTCTCTATCGCAACCTCAACACCGAATTTGATGGCCTGAATCTCAGCCAACTCTGCCGTCCATTGGATTCAAGACCTCCGCACTCCGGCGAAACAAAACCCTCCATTTCTGTCTCGAACTACCACCCCCAATCCAGTCCCGACTCCGGCGAAGGTAGCGGCGTCAATGTTAATCTTGTAGTCAGCACGATCTGGCGGTTTCCATCGGATCTCCTGTCTGGATCCATTCGCCATCGTTGCATGTTGATGTTCGAGGTACTCCAGCAACCATCTTTCTGCTTTCCCCATTATCTCATATTCTTCAAGTTTCTTTTTGTTCCACTATTGACAATTTCGTTCTTCCCAAATAAACTAAAGCGCTGCCAGGAATTGAGCGATCTGCTCCTCGGATTCAGTTTCTTGGAGGTTTGTCATCCATTCTTCACAGGTCAGTTCCTTCCCTTTCTCAAAACACTGCTTAGAACACTAGGGCGCCAGACTCTCCTTACCCAGCCACAGTCGTAAAAGATGTGATTTTGAGTCTCCTTTTGGCCACAGAAGGAACACTCTTCACATCCTTTAGTTGTTCTCTTCAGTATGTTTTCCCCTGTTGGTAGAATATTACGAATCCATCTCCACGCAAAAACTTTAACCTTCGGGGGTAATATGAGTTTCCATATTTGTTCCCAATTAATTGGGGAATAGATTTCTCCAAGTTCTTTTTCCTGTCTGCTGCGTAGGAATTTGTAAGCCGATTTAACTGTATAGATACCAGACCATTCTTGACTCCAAATCCTCTTATCCCGAGCTGGTTGTCTTGGGATAGGGATTTTCATTATGTTCTGTCTGTCCTGGGGAAGAAAATGAGTTTGTAATATGGCTTGGTTCCAAGTTCTCGACGCTGCATCAATTAGCTCGTTTACTGAGGTGTATGAGGCAAAAATATAGACTGGTGAGACCACTTTATAGTTTGATGAGATAGGAATCCATTTGTCTTGCCAAATGTCGACACTGCTTCCATCTCCAATCCTCCATCAGTTTCTTAGCAGCTAGAATGCTTTTCCAGATGTAGCTAGGATTATAACACTCTTCAGCTTCCAGCACCTCTCAGGAGGGGAAATACTTAGCTTTCATTACCTTAGCCACCAAGGAATGAGGGTTTTGTATCAGATTCCATAGTTGCTTCCCTAGGAGAGCCAGGTTAAATTCATGTAGATTCCTAAATCCAAGTCCTCCCTGTTTTTTGGGGCGACAGAATTCTTGCCAGCTGACCGAGTGAGTCCTTCTTTCAGAGTCTTTTTGGCCCCGCCAGAAATTAGAGACCAGACTTTGAATTTCTTGTGTTACAGAGATAGGAATGAGGAAGACCTGCATAGCATTGGTTATTTGTGCCTGAGCTACGGCCTTGATCAGTACTTCCTTGCCACCAAAGGAAAGCAGCTTCCCCTTCCATAGCTTCACTTTCCTGCGACTATCTACTAGGTAGCTAAAAACTTCTTTCTTTCTTCTGCCTATGACAATAGGGAGGCCCAGATATTTTGTATGACAAAAGTTTCAGTCTGATGGCCATTAACCAGTATAGAAAAAGATATTTTTGTGACGCAAGCCATTATCATAGCCACCCATCTGTCATCAAACCCCAGCTTCTTCATTATAGCCTCCAAGAAACCCCATTCAACTCTGTCATACGCCTTAGAAATGTCCAGTTTAGCCGACAGAAATCCCTTCTTGCCTTTTGTCCTCCCTTTCATTGAATGGAAGCATTCAAAAGCTATCATCACATTATCTGTGATTAGTCTCCTAGGAACAAATGCACTTTGGAATTCAGTAATCACCTCGGGCAGAATGTGTTTGAGCCTGTTTGCCAACACCTTAGATAGTATCTTGTATAACACTCTGTAAAGGCTAATAAGGCGATAGTCCCCCGGGTTTTCAGCCATTTTCTTCTTTGGAATTAGCACCAACAGTGTGTGATTGGGAGTCTGAGGGAAGGATCCTGTGTTAAGATAATGCTGAAGCTCATTAGTCACATCATGTCCCACGATTTCCCAATTCTTCTGGAAGCCTTGTGGGGTCCCATTCCATCCACCCGTGGTGCCTTGTGGGGTCCCATTCTTTTTAAAGCTTTCCAAATTTCCTCAGCCGTGAACGGTTTCAACAACTCTTCATTCATCTCTATTGTGACTTTACAGGGGACTGCTTCCAGTATCTTGCTTATATGAACTTGGTTACTTGCAGTAAAGAGAGATTTGAAATGGTTAGGTAAACACTTTGTCTTGTCCCTCCCTTATCCCTCCATTTTCGTCAAGGAGTCTGCTTATATTGTTCCTTTTTCAACCTTCGATCAAGGTGCACTTAATGGAAACCAATTATTACCGAGGAAAAAAAGATGATGGTCAGAGGTAATCTGTTAAACCCGTGTCAATCATTAGACGAGTACTAATCTTGTTATTTTTTATAACATCAAACAAAAATTTGCCCGATTAGTTAAATATCTTAAATTATATAAGTTTGGATCTTAAAAGTTGTGGCTTCGAAACTTCGTAATGATGATTATATATTTGTTTATTTAATTTAGTTTGGTTAGCTAAACATAAAAATCATAAGAATAACGTCAAAAATTGTGGAGTTTACTACATCTTACCTGGTGTTTTTTTTATAGATTTTTTTTTTCCTTTTTTGAGGCCTACATGACAAAAAGTTGCTCTAATAGGGAAAGAATCAGTCTAATGTACACAAAACCAACAAGCTTGATACAACTGCAACCAACAGGTAAGTCAAGCAAACAGATAACAGAGAACAACCTCAAATATGAGACAATAATTTGAAGTAGATAACAATATATATGGAGAGGGGTAAGAGTGCAAAAATATGCTCCCAGAAAATAAATGCAGAAGCCTTTTTCACAGCTTGGTGGAACTTGAGAAATTATTATAAAATTAAAATGATAAAGATGACATGAAAATTTATGGAATTTACTGAATCTTACATGACAAAGAGTTGGTCAACAACTTCCATAATATAAGATAAGATGCAAATGTACACATTCATCAAAGGGCAGTCTAATGTACAAGTTTCAATACATAACCAAACAAGCTTATTACAGCAACAAACAGGAAAAGTCGAGCAAATAGATGACATAGAACAACCTCAAATATGCGACAGTAATTTGAAGTAGATCACTATGTATATGGAGAGGGACAAGAGTGCAAACACATGCTGCCAGAAAAGAATTGCAGAAGCCTCTTTCACAGCATAACCTCTGAGGCTGGCTATTGCTCCGAGTAAAATGGCACTCGGAGTTGTGTAATGCAGAAACAGCACAAATCTGTACATTGCATCTTCCTGCCCCAGAAAATGTAGCTTATCAGCTAGAGCAACAACGCCAATTCCGAGCAGAGGAAGCAATAAAAGCCTTGCCACCGTTATGCCTATTGTTGTTCGAAGTCCAAGAGTAGAGTCTTTCGGCCCCTCAGAAAGCATACCCCCAAGAACCAGCATCACAGAAGGCACCATGGCACCCCCTAAGATTTCAAAACTATCCTTAATGAAAGAAAGGGGAGCATCATATCCAAATACGATTGATCTTAGCTGAGGCACCGTTCCAATAATGATAGCCAACAGAGAGGCAATAGTTGGAGGTTGAAGTATATGCTGTATTGGAGTTTGTTCAGCTACAACCCTCATCTTCCTCACAACTCTAGGCTCTGCCAGACACCTAATGGACCTGGGACTAGTGGTAGAAGTTTCGACGGAGAGATCGAGATCGGGGAAATTGCTCTGTGATAGAGAAGAGATACTATTGAAGACCCTAGCAATAAAAGGTGACTTTGAATGCTCAGTTTCTTTCTCCTCAATCCCTGGCCATTCAGCTTCCACAAGGAGCGGCCTACTGACATCTTCAGATTGCTCTACCTCCTCAATCTCCAAACCTTCCTCTTCCTCGACAATCTCATAGAACTGCAATGGTGGCTCCATCATGTGATAAACAAAGGTGTAAACAAGGATGACAGCTACCCATTGGGCAAAGGAGACATAAGCCACACCGCGAGAGTGACAGTGGGGGCCAAATGGTGTGTCTTTACTGTGACACACGGATCCAACAATGGCTAAAGGCAGATTTCCAGTGTTTCCAAATGCAGTCATGATGATTGTGAATCTATTGAACTGTGGGGGAGGACGGCATATAACTACCACCAAGAGTCCGAGAAGGAAACCCATTGCCGTACTTACTAGAACATTGACGGGGATAAACCACCATTTAGCCATGTTCTCAAGTGTGATGGATTCACCCAGCTCCGTGAAAATCAAACATGGCAGAAACAGAGCAAACACCAGCTTGCTCAGGAGCCTGAAGGTCGCCCTAGGGATAATTTGTTTTCCTGGGTGAGCAAGAATCAATCCAATCACAGCAATAGACAGAAGTTTCAGCAGCGGCACAATTGCAGTCAGTAGATTTGCCCCATCAGACGTAAACATTATTACTCTACTGTGACCTACCAACCAAACAACGCCCTAAATTCAGAGTAAAGCGAGAAACAGACCGAAGAGGAGACTGCCAGAGGGCGATGACTGCCAGAGGGAGGACGGCGGAGGACTTGCTGTCCTCGCGATCTGAAAGCTCTGGAACCACAAACAGCGGGTGAACCTGCAACTGCTGCCCGGGGGGTGGGGGAGATCTGCTCCGCTGGCAGGTGGCGTCGCCGTCTTTGGCCGCCGGCGTAGGAAGGTGTTTGACTTTCTGAATGATTGCTAATTATTAGCTAAATTAAGTATCTGTTTAGGGGTTGGGATGGGAACTTGATGACCTGGGCGATGGCTGGGTTCGAATTCGATGTGTATTTTGGACCTAGAGAGAGAGTGTGTCTGTGGTGAAGAAGTGGACAAAGTGGTAAGGATGTTGATTTACGATCCAGGTTGTGATTTATCTTATTAGTCCTCTCTCTCGTGAGTCGTGATCCAACGGAAGAAGAAAAAGCTCTTTTTGTTCCCTTGTGGGCAGGGATCTCGCTTCTCTATCCCAAATCAAGTGCATCTCGGCTTATGGTGGGCATTCAATCGGTTCGGTCAAAACCAAATCAAAATAATAATAATAATAATCAGAATTTGCAAAGACCATTAGATCATCTGAAACCGAGTTAATATGCAAATCACTTCGGTCATGTTGACCCGATCTAAAGCCCGGTTCAGTTCGGATTATCTGATCATATCGCATTACTAAACTTGGAAATCATGGTTACCATCTTGGAAAGTCACGACCGTGATTTTTTGGTGTCGCAACCGTAAAATCCAATTTGCTCACTATAGAGGGCTCACGGTTGCCTTTGACATTTCTCACGATCGTGAAGTCCATATTGCACGAACATGAGTTTTGTAGTGTGTATTTGAGTTTTCACTCTCGCTTCCTTCAATACTATCAGACGTGACTTTTTTGGTGAAGAGCGTGAGTTTCATTTGTTTGTCTTGTTTTGATTCTTTTTTCCTCAAATGTTAGGAAACTTACTCCCAAACCTTCATCATATACTAGGACCTGAAAATACATCAAAAGAGAACAATCTAGTGTACAATTAGCAAAGACATCCTTGGTCATCTCAGTCGAGATAGGATGCCTTAAATGATGTATCATCCATCACTTTAACACATCAAAATAAAGTTGTAGAACGATGTCGATGGTGATGGCGATTTGAGGGAAAGACTGATGGTCGACTGCCCGTATTGGAGATTAGAGCACTTTGGTTGTTGTTCATTTTTATGATTTTGGCTTGTAGATGTCATTTTCCAACGGGTGGTTGAAGAAGAAACCCAACAACGGAGAGTTAGGGAGTGGGATTGCCAGATTGGCGAGGGTCATTCGAGGTGGGGTGTGGTTCGCATGGAGGTGGGAAGGGAATGGAGATGTAGAGAAGTTGGGACTCGTCATCTTCGTGAGAAGAGACGAAGAATTGGACTTTGCGGAGAGGAAGGGTCGAGAACTAAAAGGATGCAGCAGGAGCGAGCAGTCAACTTCACGAAGGACAGTGGTGGTTTTTTAACTGGTGTGCGCCTGTGCAGGGAGAAGGAGGAGCTTAGGAGTTTTCGTGTCGTGGAGTTTGTGAAGTGCAGAGAGGAGCAGTGAGAAAATTCAAAGAGCATGGTGGTGATCGACAAGCATAATCACCTCCATGTTTCGTTTTTGCCTTTGGAGTCTGGTGAGTGCTGGATGTGGATGGTTTGCTTCTCAAATTAGGTCAGGGAAGAGAGCTCAACAATCCGACTGGGAATCGGAAGAAGGGAAAGAGAGCTAGGGCGGGGCGGCTAAGATAATTCGGAAGTTCAATCAAAGTTGGTGTTTGGGTTTAGTTCATTACGAACCAAACAATGACACATGCCTAGCAAACATCCTATTTTTGACCCGTACACGTCTCAATTTTGACTCGGTTAGTCAAAATTCTAGTTCGTTGGTTTGTTTTGAGTTTACTGAATTGATTTCCCACCCCTATCTCGGTTACATCTTGCCAAATTCAGTGACATAAGAGAATCAAGTTGTGTTACTTGCTTTATGTACCCAAAAAAGTTGTGTTGCTTTTAAGATAAAGCATATTCGAAAAGTACCTCACAATTGATAGTTTTTCATTTTTTTTTTGGTATTATTCTATAGGGTTATATGCAGAATATGTCTTTTTATTACGCATTTTTATCAAACATGCTCTTTTTTTTTTACCTCAAAACAACCCTTGTACTTTAGAAACATTATCAAACATTTCACATCTGTTATATTTTTCGTCCAAAACTATTAATCGTGGTCAAAGCGTGGTTTGGGTAACATAAATGTCAAACATAGACCTAATAATTTTACTTTAATGAGACTTACAGAAATAAATGGAGAGGCAAAATTGACATTTCCCTTCTCATTTAGTCATGGCCAGGAGGCCGAGCCACAATTCAAACGTGGTTGACAATGTTTGGATACAGAATGACATGTTTCCCCCCTAAAGAACAGGTTTATTTCTGATGTGCAAAACAGTAGAGAGGCATGTTTGATAAAAATGCGTAGTAGAGGGACATATTATACCTATAAAATATTTAATATTTTAAAATTGAGTTCACCATTTGTTTACTAATAAGAATGACACCATAAAGTCACCCTATGACCTTGCTTTTGGCTTGACAGACGACGCAGCGATGACAAATTGGAGTACTATTTGGAGATGGAAGGGACTTGCTCGATTCTTTCATTTTCTATGGATAACGAATAGAAAAAGAGATTGCTCACCAGCAATGAATGTACACGAAAGTATCTCACATGGTCATCCACTTGTACCTGTTGTAACTCAACACCAAAAGTAGTCTTGCATGATTGTACTTTTTCTATGTTAACTTTGTTGCAGCTTATCAAGCCTTCTAATCACCAACAATTTTGCGGAAATCAACTTTAGGATTGGATTTTACAACAACTTCGACAACAACACACATGACTAGCATTTGGAATTACCTGCTAGTTTCTTTGGAGAAGCAAAAAATGTTCGAGTCTTTATAGGCAAGATCACTTCCACTAAAGTTTTCATCTAGTGCATCCTAGCATGGATTAACGTAATGTGGAATGCTACGAACAAAGATAGGCTTGTTCATATGCCTAGAATGCCCATGAGAACTGAGGTGGAGATTCATCCACTACCTAAGATAAAAAATGATGTGTCAACTTAGAGGTCTAATTGAGTTATACTTTTTTGAACTTAGGTTTGCTTGGGAACAAGCAAAGTTCAAGTGTGGGGTTATTTAGTATGAGAATGATCAAAGTTTGTTTGGGGCTACTTTATTATTATGATACGCTTTTGGTAGCTTTTTGTGCATTTTCATGCCAAAGCAAGCTAGAGGCTACTTGGGAGCACCAAGAGACATCAAGCCTCGACTACTAGGAGTAAGACTCGAAGAGAAGACCAAGGCCCATAAAGGTGCTCGAATTGGCAGCCCAAGATCTAAAACGACACCTTGGCCGCCATTTTGGGAGGAGTCAAACTTTGTCAGAAAGATATCCAGAGTTATCCTAAAGTAGTAGTTGCACCAAGGGATAATTTTAATTAGCTTGATGATGCCTCAAGGTTGAGTTCTTATCGCCAAAAATCCTAATCCAAGGTTTATAAATAGGTCCCTAGGATTCATAACTCGGTAGCCAGTGACAAAAAGCATTGAAGGACTGTTACTATGACGGCATAGTAGCTCACCCGACTTAGAGTAAAATTGGCTATGATGGAGAAAACAAACAGAATCGACGGCCTAAACCCCAATTTCTCTGTTCCGACTCATTTTCAGATATTTTATGGGGTCTTCGTTTCAATCAAATAATTCCTAGGAACCCATCCCATGACGGATTAGTTCCTTTAGTTTCATACGTTTGCAAATCCTAGAAGTTCTAGATGTGTGAACTCAATGTTTGGTATTCAATAAGAATGATTTCATCTTCGTATCTTTTGTGTTTGATATCCTCCATGTTCTCTTTTGTTGATTTGAATGAATGCTTAGTCAAACATGCATCCCTTTGTGGTGCAAGCATCGAAGCCCTAGTCACCTATAAAAGACTATACATGGCGGTTCTATCCAATCGATCATCATTCAATCAAATAGTATATTGTCTCAAGGGAAAAAACCGTAGGGTCATTCTCACCCACTAGTCTGAGAACTCTAGGGGGAGCTTGCATGTGCAATGCCTTCCTCCCATGTCTTCCTTCACTCGTCCAATAGCCATAGGTTTCCTTTTCTATACTTGCCTTTCTTTTACTTTCCATTTCTCAAAACCAGAGGCACCTCAACCTCCTACAAACGATTTCCAAACATAGATTTTGTCCCTCGCCACCTGAGTAAGTGGTTGTGAGAGACCCTAGGGAACACGATCTTGGTCTTCGGGCCAGGTAAATTTGACACCACCTACTACGAAGAGATATACCATAGAGGCTTTCCAAACCCTGATTTGTTTTGAATGAAGGGGGAGATGCACTACATTCATTTAGGGAAAAAATGACATCATAATGTCATCATAAAATGATTAATACTTCATATTCTCGGGCAGCTACACTCCGAGTAAGTAGAAAGCAAGCTTTCATTTGTTTGATTAATAATTAGGGCTGCATTTATTAACATACCTTCTTGATATTTTCACTTTGCTCTCTTTTCCTTCTTGTTAAGTCACTTTAAATCAATTCAAACAACTTGAGATTGTTCTATACATTCGAACTGGAATGAGTGACCATGCAATGGGTTTGCAACATGACAACTCATATATCCACCTTTAATTCCATTCTCTCTCTTCCTATTTTTAAATTAATGGAAGAGATTAGGTTAGAGGTATTTGGAAGGTGAAAACCCTACCACATGAGATCACTCTCCCTCTCATATAAAATCCTAACTTACCCTCTCTCCCTACCCACTCACAAAAAACCTCTCATCTTTCCCTCCCATTCTACCGCCCCTCTCCCTCATCGGTCCTAGATACAGAGGAATCATAG